TGCAGAAGCGGTTGAGATATCCTCAAACACCTCGCCACCGTGGGCCTCGCGAACGTATCTCGAAGGGTCCTTTGTTGACCTGCGCCAGACGAACCGGGCAAAATCCATCGGAGGGAAAGCTGACTGGGACATTGTCGAGTACGGGGAGAAGCGCGCACTACTAGTAGCAATGCCTGTTTCTCGTTGGCCTTGATACTGCCGATGGATGTGTCATGATCCTTTTGTACTGGCAGTGGTACATCGACTTCGATGATGAACAGATAAACAGTGCGTGAACCCACTATAACTTTGGACGACTGGTATTGTCCGGAGCCTGCCGGTCAAAGTTCATCTGATGTCGGCCGCGATGTGGCTGTTGCCTGGAATTCGAACCAGCTGAGGGCGTCTTACACCCTCTTAAGGAAGTAGCTGCCAACTTGAAGCATAAAATTGGAGGATGTTGCAGCCCGGTGAGTACGGTCCCAACAGCGATTGGGCGCTTTTAGCCGAGGCGGTGACATTCCAGCAGATCTATCAGAAGCCCATGCCTCTTCCGCCGCCCTCAGTGGAAGGACAGGGCAGGAAGTGTGTGATCCGGATTTCCCGAGCCACGATGCTGACTTCGTTCCAGATGACCGGACCACAGATCCATCGGCGTCAATCTGCAGATGTAAGGGACCCATCCACCGGTCTCTCACATCCCACGACCTCAGCAAGCTTCAGCGCGTCCGTGTCGGCTTTCGCACCTCGGCCCTCGTGATTACCTGGCATTTGTCTGATTTGAACATATATTTACCTCCGTATTAGTCCACAACGATCGGTGCTGATTTGAACATATATTTACCTCCGTATTAGTCCACAACGATCGGTGTACTACTACTTGGACACACGCCGATACTACAACATTACAAGCCCAGATCCGGCGACGGGAGTACAGATCATATGCGCATTATGACGAGGGTTTCACGTCGGCCTAGCGACCACTTCAGGCGCGGCAACCAGTCCATCCCGTTTAAGCAGTTCCCGCAGCGTCAGCTCTGAGGTATAGGCAGATGGCCGGATAGTAACACCCATCTTGCCTTTCAGTTCCGTGCGTAAGCGAACAAACCCAAGGGAGTCCAATCCCATTGATTGGAGAGACTCTTGAAGAAGGGTTGGGTATGAATGTTTTGAGTATTGCAAAATGGACGATATTATTGACAGACAGACTTCGGTGACCTCATCATATCCTTCAGTCGAACTGAATGTGGTCTCTCCTGTAGGCCCGCTAGCCCTGTCGCCTTTCCTGGCATGCGGCACTTCAAGACCAGCAGCACTGGTCTTCCGGTAGTCGACATTCATGTACGGTCCCGGCTTGTATACCTTCACGTCATCCCATTCGTACCGGTTCACCATGTTGGTCAGAACACAGTCCGGACCTAGATCCAGGAAGGTCCAGCTCTCATCCACGGATCCTCGCTCCTGCCGACAAATGCGACGAACAGTGCACATACTCTCGAAGAATCTCAGCGGTTCACGCATGTGTCTGAGCCAGTAATTGAGCCCCACTAGTTCCAGCGGCATTGTTCTACCGGTCAATCCAGAGACATAAGTGCACTGTTGATCGGCCCTGGACTTAGCCGGGGAATCTTCAAGCATTGAATCACCACTGGATCCGTCAACTAGAGCCCCTCGCAACAACTGAATTGCTCCGTCCATAAGGCGTGAATGGGATGGAACGGTCGTATCGACTATTGCGCATGCCACATTCCGTTCCTTGAGGTAAGTGTCACTAGCTGATATTGCTGCCTGGCTTCCGGTGAGTACCACATGCCGAGGACCACCATGTATGGCTATCTCAGGCGTTGGAGTTATGTGCAGAAGATTTCGGCGGATGAAATCGATTGGAGCGAAAACGTTGAGCATTGATCCCTCACAAGACGCAGCAAGAGGATGTCCTGAATTGACCGGTTCCTGTCGACGGGTGTCGTTGGCTACACAAGAGTGCCCTGAGATAGCCGATATGCGTAGCACAATAGTCCTGGTGATATTCTCTTCGGATGCTGCACCACTCGTAATGGCTGCTGCAAACTCCCCGAAGCAGTATCCCAAGACGATCGATGGGTATATGCCCCTCTTCGCGAGATCTTCCACTTGATAAAGTTGAAATGCGAGCGTATGTAATTGGGCTTTTAATAAGGATGAATAACGTTCCGACCTGTAGTATGACATTGTTGGAGGGAATAAACTGCACGAAGGCGAAGGCTGTACATACCAGGCATAATTGCTCCGAACAAGGTCGGGAAGGCATGGGCATGCAGTCATGGCGTGCGTCATCAGCCTCTCGAATATGCGACGATGCTTGGCGTTCTCGGAAGATAACTTGACTGCTCCAGAGGAGGGGCCGAAAAGGAATACGACTCGGCCACTAGAAGCAGAGGATCTTACTTCCTTCTGTATCTCTCCATCCGTGGTTTCTGGATGCGCCATTGGAATGTTCTTTTTCATGTGTTGTATGATTAGGGAGACCAATCCCGAATCAACCGGGGGGCAATTTGCCAAGGTAGCACTGGCTTTGACTGCTCGTGCGACGTCAAGACTGCAGAATGCGGGTCTGCATATGGACCTGGAGGATAACGCAGGGATTAAGCGAGAGATGGAAAGGATACTGTCCCTGACGCATGGGGATTTGTGAGACGACTGGTCACGTAGAACTTCGATGTATTCCTCAAAAGGTAGAAAGGGAGGTGCGGGGCACGAAAGAGCTTCGGCCGCATATCCCACGACTTGAGGCCATCCTGTGGCATGTGGATTTGTAATATTATACACATCCAGCGATCGCAATTCGCCATCCAATATGATTTCGCATAGAGCAGCGGCGCATATATCGACAGGAACCCACGTGACGTCTGGCAGTTCCTGCGGGACCGCTTGTAGTACTGGGATGGAGGATAATACCATAGGTATCATCTCGTTATCATTCCAGATCCCACGGGAGGAGTCACCGCAGATTTGACCAACTCGCATAATGCAGAGGTCGAAGCTTTCCGGATCATGCATGCGGTACAGCATATGCTCAGCGGCGAGTTTGGAGAATGCATACCCCTGAATGTACTGTTAGAGGTCGACTGCATTGTTCCACGTCGTATTCCGACGCACCTGTGGTAGACAGTAGTCCAATCTCAGTTCCAGCGGTGCTTCCGGCACCATTTGGCCATCGTAACCAGAACTTGTCGAACAGCTCGTTACAAAATGGAGTACCACGTGCTTCCTACTCAAGGCGCAGAACTGGACTAGGTGTCGAGTCGCACGAAGGTCAGATTGGAATGCCTTGAAATGCAAGTTGAAATCAACTCTCCATGCGCAATGCAGCACAACGTCTGCACTACCCAGAAGCTCTTCGTATTCTTCCCGAGTGCATCCTATTCCAGGATCGGCAAGGTCTGTGATGGAGATGCAACGGAGTCTACCAGACAGGATTGCTCCATTCAAGGCGTCGATATTGAGACACTTGGACCGGAAGGATGAACGGAGCCGAAGGAGAGAATCTCCTCGGATGAGACAGTAGACTGTGGAGTTTCTAGACACCAGGAGATGCTCCACAATGTGCGAACCAAGAAAGCCGGTGGCCCCCGTCAGAACAATAGTGCAGGCGTCCCGCTTTCCGGGGGGGCAGGGCAAGGAAACAGAGGGAAAGGCAGAGAGAGGCGAGCTGAACTCTTCTACAAAGGACTCCAGAGAAGATTGTGAATATGCAGGTTGCGTGGTGGAGTGGCCACAGAGGAAGTCGCATATCGACTGCAACGTTAAGAGATTATACAAGTCCTCCCCCGCAATGTGGCGTGAAAAGGCATTCGATAATAGCTGAGCTAGCTCGATGCTGTTAATGGAATTGATGCCAAGATCGAATATGTTGGCCATAGTGTCCAGGGCAGCAGGATCGAGATGAAGAACAGCCCCCACCGCGTTGGCAACAATCGAAATCGGAGTATCGAGACTGGTACTTGAATTGCACAGAGCCTGCGGAGTATCTGTCGGACTGAGGGGTTCTAAGAATGTTCGACTTGTTGAAGATGAATGCGTGGTCGGCCACCAAAATTGCCGTTGAAAAGGGTATAACGGAAATCGGCACAGGTGTCCGGGAGATATAGTTGACCTGTCATACAGACTTCTGAAGTCGATAGAATGATCACTCTCAAATAATTTGGCTAGAGCATCGATGCTTAGACCATCTGCTATTAGGCGCTGAGCGTCCAAGCGCCCACATCCCATAAAGCCTATACCATCCGGAAGGAGTCCCAACTCGCTGGATGATAACGACTGGAAGGAGCTGCGAATATTGTTGGATCCTGAGACAGGTATTTCACCCGCCATACATCGCTCCAAGTCATCTCCGTCGGCTGCTATGATAGCCCTGCGAACCGAATGATGCTCCCGACCGGCACACAGGATTGTGGCCACTTCCGCTACCGCCGATGGGCATGTCCGTATGTATTCAGTTACGTCTGACACGGACTCCAGTAACGCCTCGTACGTCTTCCCAGAAAAAAGGAAGATATGGCGATCCAAAAGTGGAGCCGGCGATTCTTCTGCTCTTGTTATAGGGCCAGATTCTATCACAGCACACGTGATGCCCCCAGCTACAGCAAGGTGATTGACGTTCAGAAATACTAACTCAGCGAAAAGGGCCACTGAAGAAAGACGTACTGAAACCGAAGCTACTAACAGTAGCGATCAGAGGTCGTCCGACCTCAAGTGACACTGTGGAAATCGGCACTCGAACTGATCCCTCATTCAGGTCCGGAAAGGGCTGCACATGATGTGGGGGTATCTTGCGATGTTTGAAACATAGGAGTGCCTTCAACAGGCCTAGAAAAAGATTTCAAATTCCATCTATTAGATTTTCTGCACACCCACCTACTAGCCCAGCGGCGGCTTGACAATGACCGACTACCGTTTTGGACGTTGTCAAATACAGAGGCTCAGTTCGAGGCGATCGGTGTACGTCCTGGATGGCCTCTAACTCGATCATGTCACCCAGTAAGGTACCGGTACCATGCGCTAGTCCGATGTCAAAAACTGAATTGCCGTAGTTAGCCTAGACGTACCTTCGTGAAACACTACCTGTTCCTTGCTCACGTTCGTCGCATCCAGGGCTTCGCGCAGGAGGGACGCTTGCGCAACTGCATCAGGACTGGTAATACTCGGGGTTCGGCCATTGTTTCGGAGAGCCAGACCGCGGATGACACCATCAATTCTATCTCGGTCACGCATTGCAATGTCGGCTCTTTTCAGGATGAACAGAACGGCCCCTTCCTGATATACAGAGTGAACGATATTCAGAAGTGGGACAACTTTTATCTTACTGAAGGAACGTAACCATCGGCCGTCGGCGAGAATGCAGAGCATCTCCCTGTCGATGACAGAATCTTCAGCGACGAAGCCCATAGGAACGACGACTCAGAGAAATGGGTGGCAATTCCTCCGACAACTGCGAGCTCCGCATTTTGGGCAATGATAGTGTGAATTGCTGGATAGTCTTGTCAGTTCCAAGGAAGAAAGCGGGAAGTCTAATAACTGACCATATTCGAGAGCTTGCATTCCACTCGCACACGCAGAGGAGATTGTGCAAGTAGCGCCGCGAAAGTCGAAAAAGTGCGCGACACGGCCCGCGACAGCGCTTGGATCGAAGATCTGAGCCCAGTTATGGTCGAAAGCCTTTTGGCCGTCTTCGGCGAACCTCCGTAATGCCCAGCCGTCTTCATTCCCCATCCCAATTGTTACAGATACGTTCTTCCCCTTCAGGGTGCTAGGGACTATCGCGGCATTTTCCAGAGCTTCCCAAGTCAACTCCAGCGCCAGACGAGAGTTCGGCCTCATGGTAGTGGCTTCTCCAGGAGTCACATTGAAGAAAGACGCATCGAAGTCTTCAACACCTTCAGGACCAAGCCAACCCCCTCGGTACTGGTTTCGCGAGGACCCGCTGAAATTACGTGAGGGCGGAGGAGGTCGGTTGCATTCGCCCCACTTTCCGTCGAGAAGACTGGTCCAGAATTGTGTCGGACTAGTTACGTTTCCTGGGAGCCGGCATGAGCTCCCTATGACAGCGACGTGCTCATGGGGGGAACCTGACATGGTGAGCTCAATACAACAAAGGGAGCAGAGAAGGCGAATGGATGAGCTTACAAAATGTCACTTTATATGATAAAATACATGCCAAACCAACTTTGGACACCGCTTACGACTTGAGGCATCTTCCCAGAGAATCTAGACATTACTTCGAAGCTGAGTGATGGAGGAAGAACTATAAGCAACGCAATGTCATCTTTATCGGGCACAGCATGCCGCCGAACGATAGCAATCATGCACTGCTTCACTCGCGACAGCCCATTTGCATATTCCAGATCCCCCTTGTTCCCGTATCAAATTTCAAGGCTGATACTGTACGATTACGATCTATTAGAGGCCCTGTCACCGTGGGACCTTATACGGTTGCCGGAGCTCGCCGTCTTTGCTATTGCACCCCCGTGTGACGGTTAAGGCCGTCATGATCACAGCCACTTGCCATGTTTTAACGGACTATTTCCTATTTTGGCTTATGTTTATCTTGATGGTCACTCGTAGATAGATAACGGACTCTGGCTCTAAAACGCACTGCATGTATGTATTCGGCCGACGGCCCTCGCGGATGATATCATATTTACTACAGTCCCGGACAACCAAAGGCAGCAAATTGATTTCTGACCGAACGGGAATTTTTGGCGAGAAGCCGAGTTCAGTTTCGGACTCAGGGAGGCTGGAAACGTCTAAAAATGAGGTCTCCTCATTTTTCCCACGACTTTTTGATACAGCCAAAATTTTGGGTCATTTCAATGACATTCTATACAGTCACCGGACCTCTCAGGTCACACCCTGAGCCTTTGGGGACCTGTAAACCCTTGTATGGAGTTGCATCTAGGCTTTCGAATGTTGAACTGGGTGCTGACTTAGCTGCCAGCTCTACATACCAGAATGTACCGGAACCCTCTGAAACATTCTGGTATATTCCACTATTGTACAAGGCACAGAGCTCATGTGGGTCAGTGACATCATAGGTGGGGCTCAGTAGGATTAGGGATATTCCACGTAGCTTAGTCAGCCTATGGGCCACAGTGTATACAAGCCCTGCAGCTCTGCTGCCTAATAGCAAGGGGTCGTTCATACAAGCTTTACCAGTAGCTGTAGCATCCACTCAACTTGTCAGTAGAGGGCCATTGCTGTGCATGGCAGGACACAAGTCCTGAGTTGTGTCTGATAAGTGTTAGCATTGGGTGTATAAATGTTCCAATTGATGTATACAGTACTCTTTCTTATGCACATATTGAAATCCCTTAGATCTGTATCTGCAATGTCCCCTTCATTCATACTTTCAAGTTGTCCTCCTGTGGCTCTGCCATCATTGTACCATAAAAGTCCCTGCCATTCTGACGGATTAAAAGTTGGTCTGTATTGGTGGCTACAAAAAGACAATAAAATTGTATTTGTACCCAGCCCAAGGGATAGTAGCAGCTGCACTACTAGACACAAGTAACATAGATCAAAGTGCTCCTCTGCTGCCAATCCTTGATTGGCAGCTCTATGACACAGGTCTTTTATCCCCAGTAGAAGAGATAGTCAATAATACCTGCAGACTCCAGGTAACATCCTACCAGAACCAGAGCGCTCATCCACTGCCAATCTTTGATTGGCAGCTCCCTCGCATTCATTTTCCCAAACCAAGCTGAAGGACAGTCATCAGAAAGGGTACTCAAACAGTACTCCAAGCAGCTGGGAGCAGAAATGGAATATATGTTACACATGTACTAGCTTCAATTTCTCAAGGGGACATATAGATACCACTGAGTGTCAGAAATCAGGGTTCCAGAGGCAGCAGAGATTGAGAAACACAGGCCCAAGATGCCTGTGACCAGAGAAATTGTATCATAGTCCCTGCCACCCACACATAGACTCAGACTATGTGTGTGAAAAACAATCAACGTTGAGACTAATTCCCACAGTAACAATCCATCAAACTATCCAGCAGTCAGCATATTATTTCAGAACACAAGTGCAACATTCAAGAACCTCTTATAGCCAACATAAGATCAATGTGTATGTACCAGTAATGTTGTTGAAATATTCCAAGCAAACAGAAGACGAGCATGTTTGCCCCAGGTGGGTTGCCCGAAGGGCAATCGCATATGGTACATCGAGTAGATACAGCAAATATATAAGATTTTCTTATCATCTTATCAGTCAGGCCCGCCTGCGGCGGTCCCCTTCTGACCACGCGCAACACGGTGCGAGCTCACAAGCTCAGACCCAAAAGCTGAAATCCAACAATGATTGGATTAATAGGAAGCACAGCCCACCAAGTTGACATGCTTCAACTGCTGCAAGTACTAGACTAATGAGGGAGTGGGCAACTATGACATCACTCAACTACAGAAATGTGCTTTCTGCAGTCAAGCTATGTCATAGTAAGCAGGAGCCAATGAGAAGCCAGAGATCCCAACCGGCGCGGCACCTCAGCCACCGACTACAAACAGCCACAGAAGTCAATTCCCACGGTAACAACATGCCACACACGACAAAGAGCATGCAGTAAAGGAAGGAGATACGATTAAATTCTCAAAATATTCCAGTAGACAGATAACCCAAAAAAACCTCTTCGTAGAAGAAACCACGGAAATACATGAACAACTCAAGACGAAAACACAGTGTGATTGCAAACAGACACTACAAATGCGATTTCGTAGTCTGTTTGTAGTCTCCAATACAAGTGGACATTAATTTGGAAATTGAAGTTTGTATTCAAGACTACAGCACAAAAGTCGCACGCATTCTCGGCAACACTGATTCCCATGGGTACAATGTTCAGCACACACCCAATTTTGCCGGTAAGGACTCATCCTTCATAAACTTAGGACTTGTCATACAGGTGAGTTGTGTAGGGCGCACTGTGCATGCTGCTGCCTCCATAACTCTTCATCATCAAAGACTACGGACCTCCATCTAAGGCCCAAAGAAGTTCAAATTTATGACACACGTTACCTTGATGGCCATATTTAGCCTGCATTTATGAGAGCTATTATGGCATATCAGCTGGTCCAATTATTAGATTTAAGCCAGGATCAGACTGAGCTCGTTGAACGGGTGAAAGGAGTCGATTGGCATATTTTCCGCATTTTTCCCGATTTGTTTTGTATACGGCCACTATTTCGGCCCGTCCAGACCCATTATGACAGGTGGTTTATGAGAAATCAGCTCATGCCAATCTCTTCCTTAGAGTCTAAATCACTCATTTCTGCAATAAAATCGGACCTCCGGAAATCACCGAACTTGTTGTCTTTGGTTGTCCGGGACTGTATGTACCCCTTGGCTTCAGTTTCCGGTACCTGACAGTCAGGAGTCCTGTACCAATGTGTATGGTGACAACGGCCAGATCGAGTGTGACACTTCCCATTGTCAACTCGCCTAACAACAGGCCACCGGTGACCTGTGACCATATTAGGACCTGACAACCATGATGCTTCAGGTGCATCTGCAAGCCACATCAGAGCGGCTAAACCACTATATCACACGTCAGCCAATCATATACTACGGTAGAGACTGTGAGGTCACTGATTAGATAAGTGACACCACGAATAAGTCTTGAGGTTGATATGCACAGACACACAACAGACCCAAAGACCAGAACAAAACCAACACACCACACCCAGCGGTATGGGTGCCAAAGGTCTAAGGAAACCGAAGGGTAAGATATAGTTCGAGAGGGAGGGAGGAGAAAGACACCGTAGATGGTCCGAGTTTATTGAAGCCACTAGAGTCAAACACGAAACTGGGAACGACCGAAACCGATTGAGGAGTCGGTCGAGGCAATCAACGATGACCTGATTATTGATTCCCCTGTGGTCAAGCAGTTAATAAGCTCTTTATAAAAGTAGACAATGAATTAATAACGAAAGTCCCACATGCTGTGGTCAAGGATGCAAGAGGCTGAGAGCAACAATAACATAAGGTGAAAGGATTCGATCGCTAGTATGCAATCGCTAGTATGCTTAGGTCGACGGATTTGACCTTCAAAGAACGCTGGGACGCTAACTCTGGATCCTGAAATGGGTGAAGATGTCTTTTTCTTTTCTTTTGTTACAAAACGTTGTGATACACTATATATACAATGCCTAGCCGCAAACCAACTTCAGTTCCACCGTACAAGTCCTTCCACTGCTGCCGTCCACCATCTCATGCCCGCTGCTGGATAGACTTCTCTGAGAAGTTGTACATGAGGCTGAATCCACATTTTCGGAGGTCAGAGAGCATTGGGGCGTATCAACATTTTGAGTCTCTCACAGGTAGAGTTGACAAGAGATTTGGGTTCGAAAAAGACTAAGGTATGAGGTACATGGGCTGGGCTTTTATACTACAAGATCACATGTAACGAATAGAAGAGATAGAGACAGAAAATAGAAGAATACGAGAAGAGATGAAATCAATGCAAAGAGGATTAACTCGAAGGCTCCGAAGGAGCTGTATAGCTTAGAGTCTGAATACAGTAGTGAGTAGCTGAATAAGGAATCTACTGGCCAAATACGGTAGTGAGTGCAGGTGCGTATCCTTACAGAGACTTCTTCGGCCACAACTGAGAGTGATCCTTTTGATCCAAGATGAGATCGTGCCCACCTGTTTGCCACAACCTAGCCACAAGAATGCTAGCCACCCCACTCCTCATACATATAAATAGAGCAACTTGCAGCATGTAAACAGCAGAACATTCAACATGGCATCTGAATCCTGCTCGGGGCATAAAGCCCACAAAACCTCGTATGTTGGGGGCCACCTGCTGCCATTATATCTCGAGTCAATGCACTGCAGGCTCTACTTCATCATCTACCCGACTCTCTGTTGAAAGCCTCCTGGCAAACCGGCCGCCCGCAGGGCAATTGCATACCATACAAAGAGCAGATACAGTGACTATATATGAGTTTCGCATAAACATTCACCCGCTACGGCTGCCTATGACGGCGCCATCCTATCACGTGTGAGCTCACAAGCTCGACCAATAACCCCGAAATTCCAACACACTCCCCTGAGTGCAGCAAGCAAGCGCTCAAGGCACTCCCCATCTCAGTACACTCCACAAATCCCGCAAATTCTCCTCCGATCCCAGCTCCGAGATCTGGTCAATAGTCCATGCTCGCGGGGAGCTCCAACGGGCAACCCTTAGGTGCAAACATAGGCGAAAGGCATACAATGATCCCAACAGCTCTCCACTTGTGGGAAGAGGGCCATTGCTTTGCATGGCAGGATATGAGTCCTGAGTCTCATGTTAGTTAATAGCGCCGTGCGTATATTACTAATGAAATGTCTTTCCCTTTACATTTGGTTAAGTCAGTCATATCTGTATTCGATAAGGTTCCTTCAATTACGCACTGTCTGCCTGTGCTTATACCGTCATTGTACCATATTGTCCCAGTTTTGTCAATGAATCGACAGTTGAAATGGTACTCGCCATGGTAGACCATTCCTGTTAAAAAGTGTTTCTTGTGTCCTTCCATATTCAATCGGAAACTTTTGCTGAGATTTAAATTGGTTCCATGAATATTGAAGGCAAGTAGGGGGGGGCGCATTGTGTAAGGAAACTGTATTGATGGTCTGGTTTCTGCAATGTCTAGATCCTCCTTGTATACCTGTTGGGTTTAGGTATAAGGCTAACCATTCCGCAATTGTTGTCGGTGGACATTGCATGCCTGCATTAGGGAGTCTTGTGATAAAGTGATACTCGAACATCAAACTATGCATTCTCTGATAGTCGCATTTTTTACAATTGCTTGTTACCTCTATCATGCCTGATTGGTGGAGGAGTATGTGACATAGATCTGCAACTGATGTACCTTCTCCTCTCTGCAAAGGAAATCTGGTTCGGGCTATACTATGCAATTTGTCTCTTAGGTTATCTCTTGCCTGTTCCATTGTACTTTCCTTGTTGTGTACATCATTAAATCCTGCAATAATCATTTTCATCAAGTCTTTTTGTTTCAGTTTTACATTCCAGTAAGGCATCATATGCACAGGAGTAGTTAGAGTGCCAAATGAAGCCTATGGGAGGTCCAGACTCTGGAACATTTCCGGTTGGGTTGGGAGCTGGTACCATCTTTGTTCACATTGCTTGACTTGCTCTCTGAGGTGGTTCGCAATGGACCTGCCATATGTATGATAGTTTGCTTGGGGGTAACACTGGGGATATTGCCTTTCTGATGCTCTTTTTTGTCTTTGTCTGTTGATAATTTCCATTTTGCATCATCCACAAAGTCAATGAGCTGTGAAGGGTTAGCTTTTGACCATTTTATAGCTGCATGTACATCTTTTGGACATTCATCTTTTTCCCAGGTTTGATAGGCTCTTACAAGTGTATTTTTTCGGTGGCCTTGTATGTGGCCTGGTAAAGTACCTTCATAACGTAGCTTTGATATGTGATCTAGAATCTTCAGTTCTCTGAATTCTTGGCGTAAATAACCGGAAGCACCTCCCATTATTTTAGCTGGATCAAATCCTTGTATTAGGATCGTGCCTTGAGCAGAGGCACTTCTGGAGAGACAAGTGTAATATGATTGATGATTAGAACAGTTATTAAGGTCAACTACATTGTTCGGTCTGGTTCTTCCTTGAGAAGCATAGTCAGTCATGGCAAAATTAGGGAGTATTGGTATCTGTTGCCGAGATATCATTACTATCTCATTGTTGGGCATTTTACATTGGATGTTCATAGTGTGTCTGGTCAAAGGTACTACGTTTTCTGGAAGGCCATCTAGTTTAATTGTTCTTGGAGGGTTGACAAGCTCAACAAATAGGGTTTCTAACACTGATTTTCCTGAAGAGTCTTCTGAATGCCAAGATACAACTCTTGCTTCGGCTCCATTTGTAATGCAACATTCGGTTGCTTCATTTTTTTAAACTAAGACTGGCATGCCTTTGCAAAGGAATAACTTGCCCGGAACATGGTCACTGGCATCATGAGGAAGATTCCATAAAATATTTTGGGTAAGTTCGTCTATTGCATTGGAATGATATTTATGCTTACTTTTATTCTTCTTTCTATTCATTTTAATGTCTGTTTTCCATTTATCTGTGGAGTAAAAGTCAATTAGCTGTTGGTTTGTGTCTGAAGCAAATTGGACACATCCTAACTGGTTTAATCTGTCACGATAAATATTTCTTGCTGTGATGACTGATACATGTCTAAATTTTGGATCAGATAGTTTAGGCTTGTTCTCACTTTTTCCTGCTATTCTGCTGCAAAGAAATTCTATGTCTTGTAAAGTGCAAGCTTTGTATCTCATATTTTCCAATGCCTTCCTTAGTTTGTTATTCTCTTTGGTCTGTGATTTTTGTCTCATATTTTCACGGAGTATAACTACTGATGTGAATTGATACCATATAGCTTTTCCTATTGCTGATTCTTGATCAGTAGGAGACATCCTTCTATTTAAATGTGTCCCCACCCTATCACTGTATAATGGGGGACGGTTCATTGCCGGTGGCAATTGTGCAAAGTCACCACACAATATGACATTGATTCCCCCAAAAGGTTCATTGGCGTGACCAGTTACCCTACACAGTCAAGCAGATATCCGATATAAGTCATGGCATGATAGCATTGAGACTTCATCCAGAAATATATATTCTACTCCATCCAACCTTGCTTGTACTTGGGCTAGTGCTGGCGAGTTATTGTTTATTTTATCTGAATTGTCTGTGAACCCAAGGATAGAATGATAAGTTGATCCTCCCACTATTGCAGCCGCAGAACCGGTTGGTGCCATTACTGTAAACCGATGTGATTCACCTCTTTCATTGAAGTAGTATATGAGTGCTTTGATTACCTGGGATTTCCCGGTACCTGCCATTCCTCCTAAGTACACTTTTAGTTGTTCTGTTTGAGGTGCACTGGCATGGTTTGCGATGATGTAAAATGCTCTCTCTTGTTCTGGTCTCAGCGAAAACTTCTTGACTACTCTTGCTTGCATTTTTGCCACATCAGGCCTCGATTGGAAGTAGTCCTTCAGTAGATAAGATTGATCCACAATCTTGACTTCGCTCCATTTCACTTTATTTCTATTTCCGGAGGTATTGCCCTTGCCTTGCTTGTCTTTATCCCTTTCTTCTAGTATAGCTTGTTTTTTTTTGGATCAACTCTGTCCACTGCTGTTTAGTTTTGTGTTCAATATCGTTTGATTCCATTGGTATTTCAAGTTCGATTTGACTGGGACATTTGTCTAGCCATCCTGAACCATCAAGAATTTTTTCTATTTCATCCATCTGTTGTAGTCGTTTTCCAGAACGTTTTCCAGTATTGCCATACTCAGCAGCACCCTCATGTTGAATATCATTTTCATATGGCATGGTGTATTCTCCTTGGTCATTGAAGTTATTCCCTTTTTCCATGGACATGTTATCCAGCATATTTGGTAAACCGGGTATATTCCCCAATTCTCTTTGTTTGGAGTAATCATCTCGGGCATCATAACATTCATATTGTATATTGAGTTTGGACATTACTTGGGTGTGGTGGGGGGTAAAGTTATGAACGTGGAATGCATCGTCCCAACTTTGACCGAGAGATTTAAGGTCTTGACCAGTACGCCATGGTTTGAATAAAGTCATCATTGTAGCACAATAATATTCCCGATTACCTTCATCTCTCCTTGGGAGTGAGCCACTGATGAAGTTTGGTACCAAGCCAAACCCTTCTTTGACTAAGGTAATGTAGTGTTTCTTGTGTTGGGGATGGCCTGCAATAAAAGTCAAGTCTTGAGGTTTGGTCTTCTTGTTCCGTTTATTAATATCAATTTGATCCATGACTTCTTCTTGTGGAACAAGATCATCACCGGAGTCCAATTCTTCAGATAAGCTATTGTCTGACATAGTCGGTTCTTGATTTTTATTAGGTGTGGGCTTTGGGATTGGTTTCTTGCGCGATAATCTGATCCAGTCATATAAATTCATATCTTCATATTTTAGAGAACGATGTGTATAGTCCATAACTGTACTGTAAGGGGTGTAGCCATCTTTACTTTATGAACCATTACTTTATTTTTCAGTGTTGCATTGACATTTTCTGTATCTTCAGATGGATTGTCATCCTCCCAGCTCTGCAGTACTTCTGATACATAAGATTTCCAAAATACAGTCTGAAACTTGTGGCTGGTGTAATGATCTGGATTACCAAGTAAATAAGCCAATGCCATGGGTGCCCCAATTTCCATTTTAACTGACAATGAATTGACAATTTGTGTCAATAGTTTCCGTGCCTTTTCTTGGTCTGGGAGATCTCCTCCCATCATAGAGGATTGTCTGTCAAACACGTCTCATATTGTTTGAAAGATGGTGTAAGTTTTTAACAGTGTTTTGGTAATATAGTCAGTTACATATGCTACTACGGCTTTTAGTGCTGTACCAGACAGTAGATTTGTAACATCTGAATTAGATCACAGTAAGTATGTCAGAGAAGGAGTGAAAGTGTTTATCATTGTTTCCTTTTTCTGCATTTGTATATACCCTGTATTGGTATCGATGTGAGTCTCCTCTACTAATTCCCTTGGGAATCGAGCTTTGCAAACACCTTTTACCAAGCATCGTTCATCGCATGTCCTATGTACGTTGGACTTTAGGAGTAGATCATTTACTGTTTTAACAAATTTTCTCCACCAGGATTGACTTGAATGACATGTACAGGTCTGACAATTATGGTTGAAACTGTGATCACAGGGGTAAGGCGGGAGATCTGGGAGTGTCTGAGTCGGGTCTTTATAGTTTGGGTGGGATGAGTCATATGCTACCTCACTTTTGACTTCCTCCATGGTCTGATCTATGAATTCACCTTTATGAGCACCTTCCAGATATTCAATCATCTCAGTGTAAAATGGAAAATTCTTATCCATCATTCGGTCACATATCTCTTGAGGGCTCAATGAGTTGGCTATCCAGAGTAGTAAATGTAAATGCAGGGTCAGATGTCCCTGCTGCTCTACTGTTCCGTAATAGGCTGATGGTTTTCCGTACAAACTGTCATGATCACTGTTTACACCAAGGACATGTTTTATGAACAATTTCACCATCATATCGAAAAAACAAGCACCTGCTACAGGATTATTAGTCACAAGTTTTGCTCTGATATCATCTGGGATAAGTACCGGTTTAAATATTTCATCAGTTCCAGATTGGATGCCGTACATCTGCTGGAGCAAATATAACAAACCATGATGGGGCACCTTTATATGCTATGAGTGACCATATTTCATTTCTCATGTATTTTTTATTTGTAATAGATCCATCAACATGGCCAGCTATATGGTCAAGATCACCAAGGAGTTGGAAACAAGCCTTTTCTTCTGGGGTGTTTGGGATCACCCTATCTCCATTGGATAACCTACGAGCTAAATCAGTGAGGGTAGTCTTGTCAACAGATAGCAACCTATCAGTGATGTCATCAAACGAACGTCTTTCAGCTAGCAAGAACCCCCCGGTAGTGCTGGCCTTTATTTTGCTCATGGTTGAATGCAATAATAGGAAAGTATTCATCCAGTTGGAATCTTTTGTCATGATACATCAGCAAATGTTGTTTGTGAGCCAGCTCAGATATCTTAGTATAATAATTAGGTTGTGCTATTCCCCCCAAGCCGTAGGGAAATAACCATGGAAATATTTGCGGGTACAATTGTGGATTGTTGTAGATGGACTCCAGATTTTCTGCATGACCCATAGCCATCACTTGACCACCAGAGGTTAAATGTTTCACAGCTAGCGCTTTCAAAGATTTTATACTTTTCATATGCAGCTGTTCCCCAGTAACACCATGCACAACCAAGGGACAAGGGCCTGAGGCGGTACCCTCTTCTTCATCCAAAGATCCATGCACGCTTTTAGCTATGCCTTCCTTTGGCTTAAACTGAGGATTATAGGACATAACAACAGGTGGCTGATTCTGTGGATATGATTTGAGGTTGTCATAGGATATATCAATGTCATGATAGTCAATGTGGTTTAGTTTGAGCCACTCCAGTGCATTTGCTACTCGATTATGACCTACGAGTAAAGGTGTCTTTTTGAATTCCTCATCAGTTGGTTGTACTGGACCTGTATAAATGAATGCCAAAACTTCAACCAATTCAGATCTCGGCGGTGGTAGAGTCCGATAAACTTTCGGAATGGGATTTGCAAAAAGGATTGTGTTGGCATTCATTTTTCCCATTCCTGAGGACACCTTAATCACGCAGCGGTTGTGGCGCACTCTGGCTATGAGCATTTTCTCCGCAAATGTCAGATTTTGAAGTTGGTCAGGCACATCGCCTATCCACAGTCCATTTGCTAAGGCTAGTTCAGGTGCTTTATCTTTTGGTAGAGATGTAGCACAAGAGGGACATATTTTATCGAATTTAGTTTCAATAACAGGGCCAGGTATAGCATTTAAGTGATGAGACTTATGTGTTCTTTCCTTCCTCGTTACTGACCTGCCATTATCTATGAGTAATGTCAATTTGTCTTTAAAGTTATTTAATGGGGCAAGTTTTGATTTTGGGCATAGAGTTCCACACACTGCACATCCAGATTCCTCAATGAGAGCCGGATTCTGAGAAGAACTGAATTCATGTATGACTTTCTGTATTAACTGTTCTGAAGGAGGTTTAGGGGGAAACTTTACATCTTCTGTGTTAGTGTCAAAAGAATATTTTGTGTTATCATGGTGAGCCTGTTGTTTACCTCCAGACCTATGTTTTGGTGGTGTTACTGGGAGGAATACAGTTACTGTGGGATAACAGTTGTCACATTGGTGTGTTGATAGAGCAGTTTCGATGTCAAATTTTGGTGTCCGGGTATTAATCTTGATTTTATGAACCTTTGCTAGTAACCTTAATTTTGTCAGAGGCAGTTTAGGTGAGACTACAGACAAGGGAATATAACTAAGGACTACATTGTTAGACTTATTGTATGTGTTCAAGGCATCAAATCGTATCATATGATCTAAGAATTTGAATTCCTTTGTTGATAGTATGGTCTGACTCGGTTCGTCCTCTGTTGATAAATATTTATAATCATATCGTAGAATTTCAGATGCTGAAAATGACGCTCTAGGCAATCCTTTTAAACCTCCACCTTTGACAGAAACTCTGTCTGGATTAACTTCCTCATGAATATGATCCGCAGTCTCTTGGTTTAAGTTTGATTCCTCTTGCCAATGACAGATATAATAAGAATAAGGTGAATAATAGGTATCTCTCCGGAGCCTATGGTATATCTCGGTAAAATCATGTTTGTGTACAGAGTTTCTATGTTCCATCAACCTGATTATGCGGCACATTCTACTTGGAGACATTATAAGCTGATTATAACAGTGTAAAGTATATCACATGAACCGGACAACAATGGAGGGGGGTAGATCCAAATGTTCTCCAAATATATGATTGTAATCTATACCTGGTCGAGAGACTTTATTCCTCCAGGACGGATATGATGGAAGCATCACCGCACTGTGCTGGTCCTTTTGAAAATACCCCTGTTGTACAGGACAGACTTCGTTTCTCTAATTCTCTCCATTTTGGAGCCAGTATGAGACTGGATTGCACTCCTTAAACAGGAGACAGGATGTTCCTGTTGCATAATCACTGCTGACATTCATACAAGAGACTTGTCTCTGAGGAGTCAGTGATTCCTTGGTGATATGCCCAACATGCTGAAGATACAAGGTACTTGTGATCACAGTAGTGAACAGTACCCAATACGGTAATGTTAGCATTGCCAATAGTCTCATAAGTCACTTGTCTCAAAGAGTAGTAAACAGTTGTTTGACTTCGAGAAGGAAGAACGGAAGGGAATCGATATAGAGTTCAAAGAAACAGCCACCCCACGCGACAGGTGTGAATGGTTTATGTAAGCTATCTATATTGGTAAGCAATGTCTACTGCCTATTACGGATCGAAGGAGAGCTACTTACCGTGTGAAAATAACGTTGAGATGGAACAGTTCACACGGTGAGGTTCGCAGTCTGAATCATGAACTTTCATCGATGACGGTATGCTGTAGCATACTAATATGCGCTATATGTTACGGTTCCGGCAACTTTTATTGCCCTATATTGCTCGATCAGATGTTAGACTGACTATGTAGTCACAGCGTCTCATAGCAGGTTTTGTAATTGATCTGAGGCTTGCATTGACTTTGTAGCCACTGCGGCTCATAGTCACTGAGGTCGACTGCCCGTGTAGCCACCACGGCTCATAGGCAGCACTGTTGTCCCCTTATTATAGATTTTTGTCATCAGTCCCAGACAGTGTAGAGACTAAAGCGACTGTCATTGATAGCCAGTGGAGTCGATCACCTCTCAAGAGTCACGTACAATCCGTGAACCTACATCGATCATTTTATACCCGATAACCGAGATACATGATACACCAAACATTGTACATGATCCATACTTTCCATACATACATGATTTTCGACATATTTATACAGTCGGCTTTTCACATGGAGGACTTAGAATGTATCCATAGGCATAGGGCGACACGGAGCACCCAGGCTATACAATTGATCATTAGCAATCACAATAGCATGAATGAGGATATAAGTATATAGGAACAACTTACCTTGCGATCTCCAGCGTGATAACATTTGCAGCGAATTGCGTTACTTCCGGATGTTCCTTGCGCATGGAGTCGATGAAATGACGGATGCGCTCAAACCTCCAAGTCCCCATCGCCCGCAACTTGGTACCGCTCTTGACGCCAGTCGCCTCTAGAAACGGGGTGAGGTGGGACAGTTCAAGGTGGAGTGAACCGAGGAAAAAACGGACAGAGTCATCGCACCTTTCCTTGGGGGGTACCATAGCTGGTACGAGTACGTATGCCTGATTCATTATCAGTTAATGTCCCTTCACGATAATTATTGTACCACGTAGACGATTCACAATTTCCACCGGTTCATATCACGCATCCCCGTGCTTCTTCATACGTTGCTTCCCGGATCGTCTTCCGCTGTTGGTTTTAGTGGCTGCCATTTCTGCAGACTGGGTTCCTTTGCGCGCGCTCAAGCATCTTCGGTACCAATGAGAAAGGAGCCGCGCAACATATCGGCGAATGGGTTGGCCGGTTCTTATGCTCTCCCAATTCATCCCCAAAGTGTGTGCATACCTTTCGACCATGCAGTTAGAATAGAGACATGTTAAATAGATTATACCACATACTTGCTGTATATACAGCTCCCAATCCTCTATCTGCTGACTGACCGGCTTATGCATGTCCAAGTAAACTTCAGCCAAGGCGAGGATCTTCTCCTGTCAGATGAATCAACAACATGATACTAACTGAAAGTACTTTATGGGAACGTACTTTAAAAATGGCTTCTTCTGCTTCATCGAGACCAAGTACACCCAGGTAATGCTTCCTATCGTTGGAAGATCGGCGGTCGGTATCTTGCATTGAGTTCGAAATGGGGATGGACATTTCTAGAGGTATGCTTTGTCCGAGGCGTCTGGCTATCCAGATGGAGGAACCAAAACTTACAGGTGAAGCAGGAGAGCAAAGTTTCGAATTGTGTGAAGGGTGTTGCAGTGCAAGTCACAAGTTCAACGCATCCGTGCCTTTAGGGTGTGCACGGGTCACATGACTTGCGCCATAGGCGCGTTTGCTGACAGACACACAAACCGACGGGTTTAGTTCCGAAATTTATAGGGTTTATATACATGAGTGTAGATCGACAATTATGTCTTTATAGCTATGTATTAGTACGATACGCCTGTAGGCCGAAGCATAGTGTACCTATATGGTTCATGTACCGACTTTGTTTCACGGACCGTGTGAACCATATTAACTGTAAGTAGTTTTCACATGGTGCATGTCTACGGACTTGGTCTAATTTGATTATCTGTCGGTCGTTATTGCGCGTCAGTTTGAATGTCGTAGGTTGCTAATATTTCTTGATTGTTAGTTTGTTTTGCAGTTGATCATGTGTATTAATATCCAGACGAGATCTACCATTGTTGATAGAATGTGCAATTATATTGTGAGTTATGGTTTATCTGCATCTACTTTCTTCATTGTAGGATTGTTTGACCTTGGTCATATTACCAGGATACCGATTGCTCTGCAGAGTGCCAATTTTGCATTCCAAGGCAGTGATGTATCCAACTGCATGAACGCAAATCCTGCAAGCACACTACGTCATCGACACTTAGGGAAGGTGCATCGAACTGAATTAGGACGTGCAATCAACACAATCTGGAAATATTCGATCCCCACAGATACAAGGATCGGGAACACGGAACCAAAGGAAAGTATCACAAACCGGCATGTCCAGCAGTACAAAATATGAGACCTGCAGACCCTTCCCCTCCCACCATCCACTGCATCAACATTAGTCACTGAACACAACGCAAGTAATCACCACGTACATCTTCCCGATGGTACCTACTATGTATCCTCAGTATAGCGAATCAGCACTGGACGAGCGGTATCTACTCTACAAGGCAGACAATTGCCCTCACCCGCTGTGGCCCTGGGGAGACGCAATCACTTTACTGGTCCTAGTGGACAACAATACTGTCAAAAAGAAGTGAGTACCGATGAACCCATGTCGTACATTTTAATTGATGATCGTAGACTCAAGGAACAGAAAGCCCGCAAGTTGCCGATTGAATCACGAACGATTGAAGAAATTAAGGACACTGGATACATACTCCTGCGCCCTGGAATGGCAATACTGTTACGAATTGTGAAGACAATTCAAGACAAGGGCCTGGATGCAGATGCAGGCAATGACGATCTTCAGGGATGGGTGACGGACGAGAGGACCTTGCGACGATTGGGGGATGATTCCGTTTCAGATGATTTAATGGAAAGGATGGCTCGGATAATGGAAGATGTATTGGGACTGGCAGATGAAAGGTCAGACTCTCCTCCCTCTCGAAAGAATGGTTATACAGGAGGCATCACATTCGAATGGCACCTATACACGAGGAACGCACAGCCTTTCAACAGTCAAGGCAAATGCTGCTACAGCATTGGTTATATGGTGGAAAAGCAAGCGGCCCTGATCCACCCTAGTAAGAACATGCAATACAACCCGGTAACCAGGATGGATGACGACATCAGGATAGGATTACTCAATGTGCTAATCACTTCCAAAACATTCCAGTTTACTAACGATGAACACTAGGTTGCTACTGAATACGGCGGAATTGCCATGAAAATGGCTCCGAAGGACCGTACAGATTTAATGGAACGTTAAGGACTGGAAAACAGAGTTCCACCTCGAGGACATGACAACAACCATCTATTCTGGACGGGATGTCAAGTCAACGTGTTGCACCCGCTTCCAAACGACGCAAGTATGCAATTCAGCAAGGACTTGGGACGTGCCGCTGACATCCATCCTGACGGCCAAGATCAAATAGGATCCTTCATTCAACTCATCGTCTTAACGCCAACTCCACCCGCATGCACGCCTGCATACTTATTCTTAATCGAATTCGGTGTATTCATCGTGATGGATTACAGCACTACCATCGCATTCTCAGGCCGTCGTCTCCATTCTCGCCTCCCTTCAGTAGCAATGTCTGATCAGGTCCCGCCCGATGCCTACTCAATAGTAGCAGTGCTTTATCAAACGGACATGCTTGCGCGGGTGGAAGACTGTGTAATCAATGTACACACAAACCTATGAAGAGACAAGCCAAAGCCAATCCAAGTCACGCGCTGAACTGGTACATTCCCATCACGAAATAGCTACAATGGCCCAAGACGGGCATGTTACAGGGGCAATCGCCAGCCGGAATACATGATGACTTTACTGTCCAATACATCTTCCACAAAAAAGCAATAACGACCATTATGGCTCATGATGAGCGTTACCATCAGCGATGGTCCAAAAATCACTGAATCACGATCCTGTTTATGAAGTATTCATACCTCCCGGGGGGCTAGCAAGGGCCGGAATCAAGGTGGTCAGACGCAACAACCAACAATCAATAGATTTCAATATTGATCATGTAGACGTTCCATGAACTGATGATACAACCGAGCGATGGAATGCGCTAGTACGGCATCAACGTCCATTGTTAGGAGGATATTCCGGTGTCAAAGGACAGTTACCATCAAGAAGTAAGTCGTGCATCTCACACAAACATGAGGCACTCATCACAAAACCTTAGCACCGCTGAAAGGAACAATACCGATCCAAAAGGAACACACAAGAGAATTACATCGACGTAACGGGAAAGAAATAAGCCTTGGTAGCGTTTCACCTGATCTATGGAAACGACATAATAATGATATGTTTGAGTAGATGATACGGAGATTTCGTCAGATGACACTGATCATGAAGATGATGATTACAGAGACAGCAATGACGATGATACAAACTTTCAAAACAATGACCTGGATCATTGCACAGGCAAAAGGAAAGGTCAAGGTGCGTCAATAGTCAGATGCGCATGAAAGTCAAGCTACTAATATTATATGTCCAAAAGAGGAGGAAGAGGAAATTAATGCCACGACTGAAGTACATGGCAAAGGAAAGAAGGCACGGGCGGATAGTACCACGAAACTGACAGAACCTCAGAGCACCAAAGACGAACGGTTGACTAGCAAGAGCGATAGAGAGCTAAGAAGTACGGCCAGAGGAAGGGATACATGCAATGAACGTAACGGGTTTACACATATGCATGCAATGGGCATGGAGTATGCTAACAAGGGAAAGATCGTAATCCGCATGACGCGAAGGATACATACAAGAGTACAAACGAAAAACAGGCTATTCATCCAAGCGTTAAAAATATTATTGCTCTAAAATAGATGGAATACTGAAAAGACGAATGCCAGCTTTAACTATTCAAATTAGCAATGTTGCACCCGTTATGCAATTGTTGGACAAGAACATACTCAAGCAAGACCTCACCGAAGTGAAAGGAATTCTCGCGGCATCAGGGAAAGCCACCTCAAGGGCGACCTATATACTTCCACCAACAACACATCTAGCAGTAATATCAGGTACCCTACTAACCTTTGCGTATCAGGACACCGACAGAACACCCCCTTTAGAGGTGGCAGGGAACCTACCCGGAGTATGGAATAAACTAAACAAAGCGGACAAAACTCTATCGTCCACCTTCATCATTGACTGGCTGCTGAAAGATGCGATCCTAGTCGGGACCTGGAAAGCCTGGCAATTCATTGAAGTGGACTGCCACGAAGCTTGTACAGATACTCTGTACCTGAAGAAGACAAACTGGCTATCGACACTCGTACGAACTGTTTACGACCATCGGATGGACCGACAACAGTATGTTCTAGAACTGAACTCGAACACGGTATTACCAGGACTGGCTTGGCAATCTACGACGAAGGTCAAACCAGCAACGAAGAATCGCCTCGGTACGGACACCAACGAACATGCTATTACTGTCACTCTCGGCGCTCTAGGGGATTGGCTAGGCTACCCTCGTAAAGGCGGCAAGGAGACTAAGTGGCAGAAACAAGGCGCTTTGCTCGACGTTCTAGTGGCCCTTACTGGCAACTCCAACATATTCTTTCTCGAAAGGACTTGGAAGGCGTATCAAAATCTGAAGAAAGCGATATTTCCGTCTTCGCCCCTCCACGACATACCGGACAAGACCTGGGTCTCCTTGGAGGCGGCAATGAAACGCAGGCTACAGACGGAAGGCCATGAAGATATCCGACAATCCTTGGATGCTATTGGCGCTGTGTGGTCCCCTTACCTCACCAAATTGCAGGAAATTCGCGGCAAGAACTCGGACTGAGCTGGTAATATCCACCATGTAACAGTAAAATCGATTGATAAACTGTATTTCATTTGTAAACATACAGGAGAAGGAATTAGATCAGCAACATGTAAAAAGAACGGAGATTATCAAGCAGCGGGAAATGACAAGGATGCAGCATCACATATTGAAGCCCCTACAGCTACCACGATTCATAGTCACCATCCTCGACTGCGTATTACATAGTTTGTAGTCGGTCCAAGGCTGCATTGACATTGTAGCCGCCGCCGCTCATAGCCACTGAGGTCGACTGCCTTTTAGAGCTTTAAGCAGAGCTGTTTAACGTGTGAAATATTCTTCGAGATGATCATGTTCCCACAGTTGGTTTCTTTGTCTGAGTCGTGATTTTGGCAAGTGGGATTGCAGTGATATGTACTATGTATTCGTGTATGTGTGTTTATCTATAACTTTTATTTAACTGTCCCTCACCGCGTGTTGTGAACATTAAGGCCTGATGTTGGTTGAAGCTTTTGTAGGCGGTCAGATGACTTTGTAGCCACCGCGGCTCGTAGCCTACTTACCGTGCGAAATATTCTTCGAGATGATCTGGTTCCCACGAATGATTTCCTTGTCAGAGTCGTGATTTTGCCATGTTTGTATTACAGCAATATGCACTGTGTATTTGAGGACATGTGTTTATTAATCCCCTGTATGCAACTGTCCAGCACCACGAGTTATGACCAATAAGGCAATAAGGTACGGCTGCTGGTCGATGCCTTTATAGTTGTTCCGATGACTCTATAGCCACCGCGTTCTTCTTCTGATTATATATCTATTATGTAGTTGGCTCAAGGTTATATTTACTTTGTAGCCGCCGCTGTCGACTGCCTAGTACATATTTTTTAGTCGGTGCCAGACAATATGAATCATGTAGATGCCATGGGTCATAGCACCTACCGCGGTTTATCATTACCAGGGCTAATGATCTACATATTGGAGGTAAGGCAGATTGTCAATGAACAGTAATAAAACGCGGTTTTCTATTGATCAAGCACGGCATGGGACAAAATTACATCGGAGGACTACTGATAAGGAGCACCCATTGTATGTTCAACGAGAGATTAGGATACCGGGCCGATCCACTGCCATTGAAGTACTGAGCGGTTGTATATACTACCAACGCGGCAGAGTTCGGGCGAATCTCTTTACGGTAAAGAGGGAGGCCTAGCATCGGAATTCTGTCGATCATACTGGCAAGCTTGATAGGCCTGTCGATAATACCAAGACGTCCGTCGTACACGGGGACTGGAGCGCAGAAATTAGCCCACATACATATAGTACAAAGAAGAAACACTTACTGCTGTCGGTGGGATCCAATACCACTTTGAAAGCACCGGGGACTCCCTCAGATGAAGAAGGAATTGACCTGTCCGTCTTCACGGATTCCTTGGGACTGAACAAACCGGGTACATTGTTATCTGCTGCAGATGTTCCCGTGATGTTGCTGGGTTTACCCACTTCTAGATTGGACTCTTATCATCAACTCCATTGTACATTAAATCACACCACTTACCGGCCCTCCGCACCATTCTGGTGCTAAATTGTATCAGGCTTCCGTCAATCCGAGCCTTCATACCGTCTGCATGGTTCAAGACAGCACATACCACCGAGGCAAACCGTTCCCATTCCACAGTATGAAAAATACCGGCAATGTACTTTTGAACCCATTCTCCTCGGTCCACATATGAAGCCAGGTGCGACTCCCTCACCAAAATAACGGAGGCACACAATGCTAGCCTTCCAGGAAAATTATTCATGATAATCGATTTGCTTGTTCCAGTCGATGGAACCAAAATGTCTGGGGAGATCCTCGAAAGGTTTATGAACCTGTCACGTGGAGTGTCCTTACGCGCAAAAACTATACCGTCCTTGATGTAGCTATTATATTTTGTGGCAATGTATCAGCAACTTATTTCAATTCTATAAAGGGTGTAGAGACGTACTCAAGAATTTTATCCACATGCTCACAGTGTTTGCCGTTTCGCGCTAGTTGGCACATCGGCGCCTGATAACATTTGAGAATATTTTTCCAGCTGCTGAACATCACTTGACCGCCTTCGCTGTATTGGCCATAGGTGGACGCCGGCTTCAGTTTACCCAGTCTTACACCATGTGTTCAGTAAAGTGCATTAATTAAATGAGAACACTCACCGAGGGAGATGCGGGAGATTCACGTATGTGGCTTTGAGCAACGGGTCCATTAGTTCTTCTTTCAATGTGACGTCCGGTCCGTGCCTAATATTCCCATGAAAATTGCTGTCCAACATCGGAGACTGAACTTACTGCACGATATCATCGGCCTCAGGTGGCTCTGGCGTGGTAGGTGTCTGGCGACCTCTATGTACGTACCTATATATGAGCAAATTCAACAATAATGACATTGGCCTGAATGCACCGAACAACTGGAAGCTCCATCGCTTCGTCTTTGACTTCTTCGTGCTCATGGCTGTTTTCATCATCGCTGCCATACCCTCTGTGGATCACGAGAGTTACATTATGTGTTAGATAATATAGCAAAAACTGACTTCACTCCTGGAATGCAAACTTCGTCATCACTTCCCTCATCAGATTTGACTTCTCCTTCATCAAATTCAACTCCTTTCTTCCTAATCTCGACGTGTTTGCCAACCGCAAGGTTGGTCTTAGCACGCTTAGCGGACCTTCGAAAACATGGTATTAGGTAGGTCTCAGACG